TTAGTGTCTACACGAGCCCAGAACCTTGGACACTCATCCAAGTCTTGTAGCCCATTATTTATTTAGAACGTTGGTGTTTACATTATTCTTGATAATGATTTCTATATCTTTTCTCCTGTTCTTCGTTATTTTGGCAGTGATGATGGTGGACAGCAAGGAGTTCAAAGATTGTGACAAATATGAAACCTGTAGAGAGAGCAAAGTTAGGGTTCATGTGTAAAGATATCATGGATATTGGAAGGCTTATGTGGACTAAAATATGCCCCTTATAACATATTGCTTGAGAGTCACTTACTTGTTGCAAAGCCTACTAAACAGTCTACACATTCAGACTTTCCTTAAAAAAAACAAATGTAGACTGTCCAACATTTTAGGAATAGATCTGAAGCGGACACTTGTTACCGTGTGGGTAGCCATGTTGTTCTTATTATTCTTTCATATATAATTTGGAATGGAAGCTGTCTTGAAAATGTTGGAATTCTACTAAGAGCCTACAAAAACAATTTTAAACACCCTCTCCAAAACCCAATGTTAAATTACCAAATCAATAGAAGGATTAAAAAACAAATCTAAAGACCACCTCAAATTCCGAAATGATAAATTAACAAACAAAACAGAAGTGTTATACTTTAAAAAAAAAAAAAATGTAGAGCAAACAAGATTGTAAACAATGTCCAAGTCTAGCTCCACTACAGTTAATTCCTTACACATAACAATAGAGCAAACAAGATTGTAAACAATGTATATTTTCTTATCAGTAAGTTATAACACCATCCTAGAGGCCAAAGAAAAAATTAGAATCATAAAACATAAAAAGCATTATTGAAAAGCAAGCTCAGGTTGGAAAAGAGAACTAAATAGCCTTAAGTTTTGCCAAAGCCACCAAATCTCCAAGTATACAATGATACAAATCGGTGAATATTTGTTACCAAAATATATGCTTATTGACAACAGCTAGATATAATGATTGACCAACTCATTTGGTTCTATCAAAATATGTATCTGAGGATTTTGATGAATAACAGACAAATTAATAATTGGATTGGTTTTTGTCATTCATTTTTTATCAAATGATTAATAAGGCCATTGCAAGCGTTTCAAAAGCTCCCCAACGACAACCTAACCTTTCCTCCCACCCAACCTTACCATCCACAACTTAGTCTTTTGGTTCGCTACCCTTGCAGCGTCACTGTCCCTTCCTTCTCCACCACCAAAAAGAAAAAAGCATCTTTCTATTCCCACAAACCGTCCGTCCATCTATTTTAGACCTCACCAAATGAATGTCAAATCATGGTGATCCAAGCAAGCAATACCTCGCTCCATGGCCAGGCTCGAAATTTCTCAAGCAACCATGCAGTCAACTCCACTATCACTACCTACCCTCCTCTTTATTCTTGACCACAGCCCCCTCCTCCCATTCCCTAATTTAGAAGACATTTTGTTCCCCACGTAAATTAGAGTTCGAGATAGAAATATCATTAACATGCTATAAAACAATATTATGGAATGTGCATTACCAGGGTTTAATTAACTTGAAATCACTCTCATCATGCATGTCACAATCAGTATTGAGATTGCCCATTAGAAATATTAAGTCACATCATAGAACAGAAAAAGTGATACAACTGACTTGGAATGGTTTGATAGTAGCTTGAAGAATAGTGAGGCTGTTTAGGGTCTTCCACTACATAGTTGCTCCTCTCCCGAAAAGATTGCTGGTTTGAATATCAGACCTCAATTCAGGTAGTAAAATTGAGCTCCAAACAGAAATGAATTTCACAAATAATACAAGAGCTAACTAAATTTGAACATAAAGTACAATCCCTACAAAAGGGCATCTTAGACAAAAATGAGACACAATATCTTCTCTAGTTCAATAATTACCTCTAGAATGAGAATTCAGGCACTCGTGCAACTTTTAGAGTCCAGCTAGATGCCAATCCCACAAAAATTTTCACCAAAAAAGGTTGTAAGTCTTAACAGTTACCCATAAGTATCAGAAAATCAATCCTTGTGGCTTTCAGTTTAGAAGTCATATACATCACTCTTCAAAAGAGATGGAAAAAATCATTGCCCAACTCAACACCCAAAATGTCAAGGTTTTAGTTGAAATAAAGAAAATATGTCAGAACCTTCACAATCAAATATATCTAAAGAATGGGCATGTGCTTAAACCAAGACATAAGTACATTATTGCCTAAACCAATTGCTAAACTTGAGGTTCTCGAGGGGTCTACATTCATTTCCTTAGAAACCACGGAAAAAAAATAAAATTCCCATCCTTTACGATCCACATTTTCCTATCTGAACTGACACAGTTGCAGCTAACAATTCCTATTTTCTCAAAGACTTGGTAGTGGCTTGTTCATTGCTTTTCATTGGCTTGCTAGTGCCTCTTTCACAATTGTTTCCTCAGAAGGCAATGCATCACTTCCTCAATAGAAGCATCGAAACCAATTGTCCAGAAGTAACTACTCTTCTAATTGGTTCTTCTGGATCAAAATTTTTTTTAAAAAAATAATTTTTTACCTTCGTGAGTTAAAAGGATATAATGGCCAACACCATCAACCAACAACTAAATCCTTGTATTGCAGACAAAATTTAAAATTTGATTTTGGTAATTGAAGTAAAAAACGTTACTTACAATTTCAACGGATTTCCATACATACAATACTGAGACCTCTGTTTTAGCCCAGATAATCAATGGTAAAGCTCCACAATTTTTTACCCAGGGTACCCTGTTATGTCTCGTTTTCAGCATGGATAAAGCACTTCTGAAGCACCTTCTGTTATACATACATACTAAAATGAACCATCTTATTGATGATTTTTGAAATTACTCCAAACGTTTTGACAATAGGTTGCCCTTATATCAGTTAAAACTACCTTAATGTTTTCCTTTTTATCAAATGAGGGAATTGAGGGTAATTATGAATGAATACAAACTCTCAAATTTCAAAGCTCCCTCATTGGATCATTGGGATTGTGTGAATTTTAATTTATTTTATTTTTTTCATTTGAAATTTGAGGCATGTATCCATCTATTTATCACAGACCCAAAAATTGAAATAATAAAAATTATCAAAAACCATTTATCCAAAATCCCCTGAAATATTTGTAGGACTATTTTAGTCATTTTCACTATTTGAATTATTTTTATAGTGTTCTTAGGGTGCATCTTTCTAACAGCACACACCCTATAAATTTCAAGTAAATTTGATAAGTAAAATGAAAATAAAAAAGTTTTGAAATTTATAACTTTGGAGCACGCACAATTATATTAAGCACCGTCCATTTGTTTTATAGAAAGAAAAAGACATTTTAATCAATATAAGGGCAAATGGTTCTCAAATTTTTTTATTAGAAATATCTAAAATCACCATTCAGAATTAGGACGTGTGTGTGTGTAAAGATACACACATTGCCCATTTGAGACTAAAGCAAAGCAGTCAAACTCACCAGCCAACTTTATCTTGGAGCCAGATGAATGACGAGGCTGGAACAAATGAGCAAAAATATACACCACTCTTGACTCCACACACCCACACAGTGAGACCTTCATCCACATCCTTCTCCAAAGCCTTTTTTATATAACCAGGGCAACATATGTAACGAGATGCAATAACCAGCAAAAAAGGTTTTCTCAAAGCCATTGGCTTGCTTCGAATGTCAAGAGAACGTGAAAATGAAACTTTGCAAAAAACAATTGCTAATGCCTGCTTAGTTCCTTCAGTTTCAAATGAGAACCTTGGCAAATGGAGCAAAACATGCGCACAGAAGCAAGCTTTCCATGTTACAGCTTGGTATCCTTCCATGGCTTCTTTGATAAATGCATCGATGCCTTCAATTATTGAAGGCATGGAAATAGGAGGTGCAGGTGGGGCTGGCAACTCCCATTACTCCACACCCTCTATACAAATGAACAACTTCTTTTATGGCATCAGATGGACATGTCCTCCATACATCATGATGGGGGTGAAATACTAAACTATGCATGTTCCTGATGCAGAAAATTCAAGTTTAGTAATTTTGCCGGGGATACATGACAAAAAAAGAGTCAAAATTACATAATATAATCATATAAATTGTTCGTTCGTTAAACCATGGGAGTAAGACGTATTCAAAATTTGAAAATTACTATGCATATATAGGAGGAAAAGGAGAATGTATAATGAATGAGGTGCTTGAAACATATCTATAAAAAGACAGAAAAAATAAGAGGAAATGGTAAGAAATGGTTACAAGTTTACTTATAATAGCACATACCACCAAAGGCTACAACACACAGAGAATATCCCAATTTCACAAATCGAACTTTAACCAGTTATTAGGATATTCCTCCAGCCTAAGGGGATAAAAAATATCCAATAACAATATAAAATAGTACCTGTACAGCAAGCAACCAAGCTTCCTGCAGCAGAGCTGAAAACATGCACGCAATGGTTGAACAGCAAGACCTCCACTCCTGGCATAACATACTGTTCTTTTCATCCGGCATGGAATTGTCCCAAATATGAGCCAATACTACTAGCGTAAATCCCATCTCTACCACCGGCAAAAAAATACATTGATTTAACAATAGAGGTAACTGAGAAACCATCTTGTTTTTTTTGAGAAAAGGTTAACTGCCTGAGAAACCATCTCGTTTAACAAAAGAAGCAACAAATATCTATAATGCAACCAGCAAAGGCAAACAAACAGTATACAAAGTTGCATTTTCCATATTCAATGGCTATTTATACTTTTGTGGTCCCTATTCAAGATAATGACTAATCCCAATGTTTCATACTACCAAATGTTCCATTGGCAGGTTGACATCTGATTGTGGGCATGAATCAAAGCTCAAGTCAACTAAATTATTTGTCTTGTGATGCAATTCATATCATCTATGAATCTCTCTCTCTCTCTCTATCTATCTATCTATCTCTCTCTCTCTCTCTCTCTCTCTCTCACAAACACACACAAGAAGAGGGAGAAATATGAACAGCTAACCAAATTTGACCAAATTCAAGGTGAAATGTAACCAAATAGATGGATCTAGTAGTAAAAAGTTTTGAATCTTCTGATGAATCCTCCTGGCATAAAACCCAAATGAAATAAATCCACATGCATCATAATTCTCCACTGTAGTCTGACAAAACTATTATTCATTTATTTTGATAAATCTATTAGTCACAAGCTTTTTCAGAATGCTTCAGCCAAGATAGGGTCTACCCCATGATTTGGTGAGGTAAAGAATAAGGTAATAGAAGAGATCATCTAATGTCCTTAGATCTTTTTGAGATATCACTTACTCATATCTTTTGCACTCAGTCATTAGTAGAGATTTCTAAAGAAAACTGATCAACAAGAAACAAATCTTACAAAGCCTGTTTCAAGTATTGTGAAATGACATCAAGAAGTAGAAGTATTCAAGTAAACCTTCAATAGCGTGATACCAAGCATGAATTTATCATGACGGAGCACCCCTCGTCAGATTAGGAATTGTTTCTAGGATTTCGTTACCATCTGAAGCATGATGAGTCTGCGGGTGTGGATGTGATTAAATAATATAAATGTTTGTTTGTCCATTTGCATGTGTGAAAGAGGGAATAAAAGAACTAGGATTTTTTATTGACATAGCAGGCCAGTCTCACACGCTTTGATGTGTCCACAATGCACTTCCAATGGAGGAAATCTGTGATCCTAGCTAGTGTCACTGTGATAGGGAACTTGACAATGGGAGAGGCAACTAAGGCATGTTGAGATGGGTACCAGACGACCTAGATACCGCCAGAAGGTCCAATTGCATCCAGAGCTAACCGCTGGTAGGGAGAACGAAGCTTGGTT